CAGTGAGAAGGCGCAGCTGGAGAGCAGCATGACAGACCCAGAGCCAGACCCATTCAGAGGGGACGAGATGGTACAGTTTTACTGGGAAGAACCCCAGGTGGCCGGTAGAGATGGGACCGAGGTCTCTCCACCGGTCCTGCAGGGAATTGGGAGCCCAGTCTCCATTCCCCAGCGGCCGCGTGATTTATTGGGAATTGGGAGCCCAGTCTCCATTCCCCAGCGGCAGTGTAAAGTGCAGGGAGAGGAGAGCAGTATCCTCCCTCCCCAGCGGCAGGCTGAGTTACAGGGGGCAGAGGTAGTTGTTCCTGCCCCCCAGCAGCAGAGTGATATGCCGGGAAGGCAGTGTGAAGTGCAGGGAGAGGAGAGCAGTGTCCTCCCTCCCCAGCGGCAGGCTGAGTTACAGGGGGCAGAGGTAGTTGTTCCTGCCCCCCAGCAGCCAAGTGATATGCCGGGAAGGCAGTGTGAAGTCCAGGGAGAGGAGAGCAGTGTCCTCCCTCCCCAGCGGCAGCGTGATTTTTTGGGAATTGGGAGCCCAGTCTCCATTCCCCAGCGGCAGTATGATGCTTTGGGAATTGGGAGCCCAGTCTCCATTCCCCAGCGGCAGCACAGATCATTGGGAATTGGGAGCCCGTCTCCATTCCCCAGCGGCAGAGTGTCCTACCGGGAATAGAGAGCCCAGTCTCCTTTCCCCAGCAGCAGGACTCTGTATTGGGAGCAGAGACAGTCGGTCTCCCTCCCCCGCGGCTGGAAGTATGTATGGGAGAGGAGCTTGTTACCCCCTCTCCCCAGCGGCAGCTTAATGTACCAGGGGGAGACAGTAAGCCCCACAACCGTGCAGATGGGACCGTAGTCTCTACACTGCCAGCACAGGGGGTAGGGACGGTCGGTCCTGCCCCCCAGCGACAGGGCTGTTTAGCCAAAGGGGAGACAGTCAGTCTCCCCCTCCAGCAGCAGAGATGGGTAACCAAAGGGGAGACGGTGGTCTCCAGCAGCAGGACTGTGCATCTAAAGGGGAGACAGTCAGTCTCCAGCAGCAGCAGCAGAGCGGTGTATTTAAAGGGGAGACAGTCGGTCTCCCCCTCCAACAACCAGGCTTCCACCAGGCTACCCTCCCAGTAGCGCTGGCAACAGGGCAGAGTGCCGCTGGTCTCTGCCCACGCAGCAACCCACCAAGTCAGCGTACCCGTACCCAGCACAGCCGTGGTGAGGCACCTGGACATGGACAAGCTTCTCCTTTACCCAGGTGTAGTAACCATTTATTGTGGGTGGGCTGTGCTGTTGATTATTTGTTGTGGGTGGGCTGCTGGACTAACAAGGGCACTGACCGGCAGGAGGTCAGATACCCTGTTAGTCTGTTTGGAAAAGGGGAGAGATGTGACGAGACCAATCTCGCCACATTGCATTGGAGAAGCCTGGTTGCTCGCCTGCTGCCTTTGGACTATGGCCCCCTTTTAAAAGACTTTATTTTTGCCTGCAGAAAAGCTGTATTCGTGCTTTTCTGCCTGGGGTTCAGTAGATTTGTTTGAATGTGTTATACCCCAGATAGGAATCCCATGGAGCCCATTTGTATGAAACTGACTGTAAAGACTTTGGCTCCATGGCGATTAAACTGTATTCATGTGGTCTGAGCGCCATTCACTTAATAATGTGCGCTCAGACCTGAGCTATCTGGGGATATGTTACATGTCTGTGTTTTATGTAATAAATGTGACTTTATGTATTTTAAAGTGTTTTGTGTCTCTTTGCAACCATGTGCTTAATGGAGTCTTGTGTCTGTCCTGGGAGATAATTGAATTACTTATCTCCAGGATAGAAGACTCTGAAACTGGTTTGGGCCAGAAAGCCATGCTTCATTTAGTCACAAAGGACTTTTACTAACTTTTGAACCCCTTGTCTGATTTGTGCCATTTTTGAATATGTTGTTCCCCTGAATGGATTGATTGTGCATATGTAATTTTATGTGAATGTGATGTATGGTTTTAGAGTTATGAAAGTTGGGTAGAAAGTATGTTTTAACTGTATGTATAATTGAGTTTCCTCAGGATAAGGGGAGGGAATATGTGGGATGTAACTGTGATGTGATTGGTTGTTTTATACCTCCCTGTGGGCGGTCCTGTATTTGCAAGACTGTAATAAAAACCAGGCTGGGTGTGCCAGCACCTCAGACCACTGCTTGACCCTCAACACGGAGCCTTGTCTCGTTCTTGGGGGGATTCACTGTATGCTGTTAGAGACTGATTGCCAGGAGTGTAAGCTGTTCTTCTGCTTTTCCTGTTCGTCTGCTAGCAGCTATTTGGGAGGTTCCAGTTTGGGAGTTGGAGTGCTATTTTGTATCCAGTTCGTGAGTTTTGGTGTTCTGCAGTAGCTGTGCCTGGATCTCTGGAAAGGGGGCCGATCGCCTAAACGTTTTTTCCCCTTGTGTTCAAAACGGTCCGTTACAGTAAGAATACAACAAAAATAGATTTTATTGTTGCATTGTCAATGATTTGAGGTTCATAAGGATTTTCTTTTGAATCAAGGATAGTGGCAAATCATATGCCCTGCATTAATCTGGGGAAAATAAAGGTTAGAAAGGTAAGGACTGTAAACCATTTTACCATTTTATTTTGACTGGCTGGGTTTAACAAAGTACCTCCAAGAAGGCCAGAATAAAGGAATGGTGAAAGAAATAAAGCAAAGTCTAATGTTATAATGAGTCAGAATACCAATGTAAGACATGAGTATAAACAATTTCTAAGGTCAGGGTGCCATAAATCAAAATCAAAGCAAACAAAGCCAAGTTCGATATCACTGAAGCAAACAATCAGAACTTGCTTAAAGGGCTGTGAACAACAAAATAAAAGTGAAGACCTCTCTGTGGCTAAGTCTTAAATACAGTGCTGATCCAGTCAATTCAGTAGAGCTGTTAGCATGTACTCAAAATACATATTTGCACCTGTTTGTGAGGGAGGGAGATGCATGGACCAGATGAGTTGTTTGCTTAAAGGGAAACTATAGGCATCAAAACAACTTTAATTAAGTAATTTTGGTGTTTTGGTCATGCCCCTGCTGACCTCTCTGCAATTTAGAAGTTAAATCACTTTTGTTTCTGTTTATGCAGCCCTAGTCACATCTACCCTGGCTGAAAAGCACATGAACATTTTTATGCTTTCTCAATCAGTGGTTAATTTGCTTTAAATGTTTTTATCTACAGCTCTGTAAATTGAACTTTAAGTACACACATGATGCTCCTGCAGGGTCTAGAACAGAGCAGGACAATCTACATTTTAAATTAAACAGATGGTACAATAAAACAAGTTCAAACATTAGATGTCACATAACAGGAAGTGTTTAGGAAAGCTGTGTAAGTCACATGCAAGGAGGTGTGACTATGGCTGCATAAACAATTTGATTTAACTCCTAAATGGCAGAGAATTGAACAGTGATACTGCATGGGCATGATCTATACGTCAAAACTGTTTTATTAAACTTATAGTGTCCTTTTTTTTTAAAATTCTTTATTTGTCTTGTGCATGTTTTAAAGACACAAACATGGAATTTCACAACAGCAGCGACATGTGTAACAGAAGCAAGTCGTAAAAGGAAAAGTTTGACATTCTGAAGCAAAGCACATTTTTCAATATGAAGAGCACTTTTACAGTACAAGATAGCACATATTGCAATAAAAATCTATTATTGGAGCCTACGCGTTTGGTGCTATAAGAGGTTCCCAGGGTCTAAGAGTTGTGTGGTGCGGTGTAACTGTCAAGTGCAGGCTACTTCTGCGTGCATGATACCCAGTGATCTTGTCATCTTACAGGCTCTGCTAGGTCACACCGTCCGACTCTAAGACATTGCCAAAGACCCTGTATGTGCTTGTTTGGTAATCGGTCAGTAGAACTATAAGGACTATTTATGAATTTAGTATCTTTGGGTGTATCCCATTTTACTAGTTTATATTATGGCCCACAGTACCGCCATCGGTTGCCAGGCTAAATAGTGTTGGCCGGTATTTAAGGAGTGTCTGGCTCGCAGTAAGATCAGGGGGCAGTGGGGGGAAGATGGGGGAGACTGTGTAGTGCAGGAATACTTCAGCCTCATCCTGGGGTGTTGACTCTGACGCCCCATAACTGCTATTGTATTGATCAGCATTGTATAGGTATAGACAAAAACTCAAAACATATTAAAGAAAAACAACAGGAACAGGATATATTAAATTAGACAGGTGACTGTCATACTGCACTCGTGGATTAAGTCACAGGGTTCCAACCCCCCCGGTAGGTATAAATGGTGTTATAGTTGTGACATCCCACGTGTGACCAGGTTGGGACCCCCTTGTTTCATTTGTGGGATTTGTTATGCCCAGCGCTGCTAAGAAAGTGGTGGCTTCATCAGGCAACGTGGCTCTGTATGAATGCTCCTCCGCGTATGCTATTAGGGCCCTCGGGTTGGACCAGCCATATGTGATGCCTGCGTCCTGTAATTGTCGGGTGAGGGGCCACATGCTTTGTCGGCATTGTAAGGTAATGGAGCGAGATAGGTCTTGAAAGAAAGTCAGACTATGTGTCTCAAAGTCCAGGGGTGATTTATCTCTAAGGGCGGCCATTAATCTTTGTTTGTCCGCATAGGATTGGAATCTTACTATAATGTCCCTGGGGGAGGCCGCCGGGGCTCTTGGCGATTTTGCAGTCCTGTAGACTCCATCCACCGTTATGGATTTAGCTTGCTTAGTGGATGATATCGAGGTCACCATTCTCCTCAGTAAGTGTGGGAGCTATTCGGAGGCCACTGATTCAGGTACTCCTCTTATTTTCAGGTTCTTCCTACGGCTTCTATCTTAGAGGGAATCCACTCTCATGTTGGTATGGTATGCATGGATTCCCCAAGGGCCGAGAGGCCTCAATTGAGGTCTGTCACATCTTGTTCGGTAACACGCACCCTCTTCATGACCGCTTGGACCTCTTCCTTCACCAGGGCTATGTCGGCATCGAAGAGTTTTCTAATGAGGTCATATAAATTGGCTATGTCCTGTTTGGTGGAGGGAGCTGAGGACTGTGGCTCCATGGACATGCCTGGGGTTGATGTGGTAAGGTTGCTAGGCCTAGCATGAGGCTGACTGCCCTCATCGTCTGACTGCCCTCATCGTCTGACAGGTCTGTGGGGCCCTCTCTTGCAGCCTTCTCTGTTTTTATCAGTTGCGGCGTGACCGTGAGCAGCTTGCCGATGTCTCTCGTACTGCAGGGTGTCTTTGGCTTTGTGCGGCCCATCTCCATGGCTATTTCCAGCTCGAAATGTGGTGAGTAGAGGGCCCAGTCCGCAATGACCTCTGCGCAGTCGCGTGGCCTTATGATCCGTCGGGATTTGCGGGTCACTTTGGCATGTGAGCCATAAAAGAAGGGCATGGGTGTGTTCCTGGAGTGTTCCTCCAGGCAGGCTGACTCCTTTGGATGGGCAATGTAGCTGTTGTTAGGTGGTATTGAGTAGATTAGGGATTTTTGGCCTTGAGCTATTGGAAATGGCGTCTAGTGCGTCTAGTTGCTTGGCCCCGCCTCCTATAGTATCCTTTTAACAATAGGTCATACCAAAATAATGTACAGTGTTGCTGGATTGCTTTCTTTGTCATAGTTTATTTTTTGGGTGGTTTGTGTAGCAATCTGAAAAGAATTTCTAAACACAAAGGAGGAGATTTATCAAAAAGTTATGTTCTAAAAAGTGGAATTGTAAAACAGGACTTATTAATGTAAGGTTCCTGCTAATTCCACTGGTATCAAAGGTGAGTGCATGATATTTTAGAACAGAACACTTTGAAAAAGCTCAGCCACGTAATCTGTCTGTTTTAATTTGTTTTTTTTCCCACCAGAGATGTGTATTGTATATTAAAATATAAAATGAAAAATACATTTTTATGTTTTGTAATATACATTTTTTTTTTTTAGCATGTACACTGCTTGGTGATTTTACTGTGTTGGTGAATGTCACCTATTATGTATTGCATGTACACACTCAACGAAGATCACATCAAATGCATTGAGGAAACTCATGAACTACACAATAACCAAACAATATTATCTATCTCCTACACAGGTGGTGCCAAAAGATAAGAATGTAATTGACAAATATAATACATAATCTACAGATTTGATAGGTATTTGATTGGCATATTTTCTAAATTAAAATACAGATGGGAAAAAATCACTGAAATCATAAATAGGATTTCTACATGGCAGAGTCCCTTGAAGCACATGTCTCCTGCTGATACATTGTTTGGACAATAATAATAATTCAAGCACCATTTCTGCTGAACAATCTCCTGAAGCACTTTCCTTAGTGACCTGTCACACTTGTAACTCTTCAAAGAGACCATGCTTAGTCCCGCAGCACAGACAGGAAAGTCTTTCTGTAGATCAAAGTTGGCATTCGTCACACACACTTGGACCATCATTCCTACACGTGACTTGTCCAAGAATGTTGCAAATGTTCCTAATGAATCAAATCACATGTCCAAATACAGCTTTCTCCTAACAATGTGATGGACATTTATTGCAGTGTTTAGCATGTTTAGAAAGACTACAATAAAATATAAATATTAACTTTTTTTAAATAAATTATTTTGGTACTATAACATGTTGAGTAAATGTTTTCACTATATAAAAGAGGTAAAGCAAATTTCATTGTGATAGAAAAATGGACTAATTCAAGGTGGGAGAAAAGGAGGAAAGGAGAGTCAGGGCACTCTTTATATCACATATTTCTGGTTAATCATATGAATCAGGGAAATTAATCCAACAGAAAAAATTTTTTGGGAAATGTGTATATCAGCGGAATATCTCATTGCTCTATGAGATTGATGGACGCAGCCTTCTAATCAAAAACCCCGAAAGTAGGTGGAAAGTTTGTAGTGAATGAGGTTCATCAATAAACTTTAGTAGATAAGTAAAACTATAGAGGGAATCTGAGATTTCAGGAAAAGAGGTTGGGATTGTCAAGCATATCCACCATATGTGCAAATATCAGAAAAGTAAAGGTACTTTTTCATTTTGTACGTGTGCTTTGGGGGCAAAATATAGACATACTGTGCTGGTGTGTGAACATCTTATACCACGTCTCATTTTTATTTTTGTTTATAATATTTTACCTCATTGTATTTTCAAGACGATGTAAAAACGCAGAACACTGGGGAAGGATTTACCAAAGTAAAAACAGATGCTATTCTGGGGCAAATGATAATTAACCAGTAATTACCAAGGAAATTAATTAAATGTATCTCAACATTTAGCTATTTGTAACCAAAATAGTGTCCATTTCGCCTTTATAAATTTCCTTCAAAATGTGACTGTACCCATAATCAGAAAAAAAAGAATGAAAGTTGGTTATCTTTAATTTGACCCCTTAATACTTTCAAGAAGACCAACTAAAATGTCATAGACATGCTCATCAGTCTATGGAAGTTTCACCTAAGTGTATACCAACTCCAGAAGCAATGTTTTTTTCTGCTCATAATTATTATTATGATATATATGTGATTGCTAGCTGTTATAGACATACTTTCCCTCTGCCTACTGTGCAGGCATTCCCAATGAGGCATGCATGTTAGACTATTATATTGCCCAAACCCTGGTCCTCTTTCTACCCTCCCCCTCTGCACAGTTATCTGTCATGCTTGGACACAATTCCTCAATCAGGAATATCCTCCCTGATGATGCAAACATTCTGACTGAACTGAAAACATGTTGGTGTCACATCAATTACCCCATTCCCATAGTGAGTAACACTTGCTGGGGAAATATCAGTGATGAAGAACAGTAGAACCACCTAGGCTTTGGTTCTCCTGCTCTCCACTGTCACTTTATGCTAACCTTATGCTGAAGAACTGATTGATAGACGGGGAAGAGGCTAACAATTCAAAAAGGCCTTCTGTTAGCACAATGCATAAATGAAACGGAATGTTGAAATTTAATGCTAACTTGTGTGTGCTATGACAGACACATTTTAATGTTTCCTGTTTTATTATTTCTGTGCAATTACAAGGTGCAAAGATTAATTATTAAAGCGGTCAGAACATAAAATGAAAGTCAGAATCAACTGACATTAACCAATCTCTAGTATTAGTTTGTAGAAATACATAAAATGCATTACTTTGAATATATTACTTGATGCCAATTATGTAATGCCAAAACCTCATGCAGGTCTGCCTTTTGTGCATGTTTTGAGAACTCTCAATTAACCCAAACATCTGCTTGCCTTGTAACGAGTGTTTGATACGCTAGAATAACATTATATTGCTATATGCTGTAACAACATTCCAAAGGGTACAAACAATTCTTTCATAAACATTGTCGAAGTATCCACATTATATGGCCACATCTGAGGAACACATTACTTAGATAGTAAAATAGATGTCAAAAAGTCTCTAAAATGACGCAATATAAAAATAAGCAAATGTCAACATGAATGTAATGAGCGTTTATAGTAGTTTGTCTTTGTATTTGCATAGTGTCTTTACATTTAAAAACATATTGTAACATTAAGTAATATACCATAATGTTCAAATTATGATTGTTTATGAACCAATAAACAATTTCTCTAGACCATTATGAAATTGCATGTTCAATTGAGATTCAGGAAATAACAGTGGTTGTATGTGTGCTCTGAAACTAGATGTGTAGTCACATTATGTGAAACTGGCAGCTATCAACTACAGTATTCGTTTGGGATGGTGTGACTAATTAGCTAGCAATATGTATGCAGCGAGATAGCTCAGTTGGTTATTATGCCTACTATGAAAGATCGCCAATAGTTAATGTCTTCCAGGGCTAACGCAATCTTTCATGCTTTTCAGGATCATTAAATTCTGTAATATTACAACTACCAAGTAAAATGCAGTTTGAGGATGTGAATTAAAATGCAAAAACACAAAAAGACCAACTTCCATTGTAATTGATTTTTTAAACTTCATACGCTATCAGGTATGTAAAATGTTATGGTTTTGTGATGATCACTACCTGATGGCATTATTTAATACTCAAGATTAATGCATTAATCCTCTAAAATTTTTTAATGATTATCTGTTTGATATTAAACCCACGCACAACTATTTGAAACTATCAATCTGTGTGAAAATAGTTCACAAGGAATGTTTTGGTTTTAAAAGTAGAAATGTGTAAACCTCCCAATTATAAGCTTGAAAGATGTGGATCTTCAACCTCCCTGTGTAAGAAAAATGCCTATATAACTTCCACCGTAAGATATTGCCCGCATCTCCCATTTTCTAACTCAAGATACCCCTAAGGTACTTATACATGCACTCATCATTTTCTGACTTGACGATTGTAACCCACTACTCAGTCTTCCTAAAACCTGTATTGTCACTCATCAGTCTGTAATGAATGCCACTGATGAACTCGCACACCTCACCCCTTTGCCAATCACTGCATTGGATTCCTGCACCCTGCAGGATCCAATTCAAATTGCTAACACTAACCTTCAAAGCCCTCACTAACTTCATCTCCTCACTACATCTCCTCTTTACTCAACAAAAACACCTCTACTCCTTCCCATTGCTCTGCAGTCAATCACTCATCTGCTTATTCTTGCACAGCTAACTGCCATCTGCAGGATTTTTCAAGGACTAGAACTTTCAACCCTATATCACGAGACTCTCCCCTATTCTCCAGTCCTCTGAAGTCATTGAAAACATATTTATTAAGTATAGCCTGCTATCTTTTTGGGTGATTCTTATTTCACAAATGCCCTCTTCAGTTCCCTCACTTCCATAGCTCAGCTCTCTATCACTCCTTCCACACACCATTTTAACTAACGTTTTTTAAAACAGGCCTTTTATCCATCAATACCTCCTCCCCTCTGACATGCTGTTTTACCGCTTGTATTTATTTAACCAATTCTCATAGATTGTAAGTGTGACGGAGCTTCAGTACTCCAACCGAGTACCTCTGCGACGTCTGCTTCCTCATAGCTATCAGGGACCCTGGAGCACTTCAGACCCATTCGCCGAGGCTTGACTGGGATCACTCAGGGCCTTTTCCACCCAGGACCAAACACCAGATGACACTTGGTGAAGGTTAAAACGGGAACTAACTTTAATAGATATAGCACACATATTTTAAGCCCACAACAGCCTTATTTACATACAATAGGGTGCATAGAGTACTATAGTACAAGGAAGGGTGGGGTCAGACAATAGCAAGGGCTGATCGGAGATTGAGGAGGGACAGGGCAGCTTGTTTAAACTGGTCTGGCCGTTTCCCTGGGACAACGCCCTGCTGGAGAAACAGTAGGACAGGAAAAATGAGCAGGGGAGAGGCACAGACAAGCAGTGTATTCAACATACCCTGCACCAATAGTGGTCATAGGGTGACCAAAACACAATGGGAATCTGGGAACC